ACAGGCCTCTCTCTATTTTTAAGTGGGAGAACTTGCACAATTGGTGGCTGACTAAATACTTTTTTTCCCCACTGTATTTTCAAATAAACCAAATTAGCCTTATCAACACAGTAGGCCTAAATATTTCCTAACAATATTATAACTTAAATATACTTACTCCTCAATCAGATCAAGGACATCTTGTGAATTATTTTCATTGTCTCTAAGGAAACTATCTGGGGCAGACACTCAAAATGTTTTGTGTGTACCATTCCTTTGCCATAGTTTTTCCTGTTAAAAAAACTAAACAAATGAATGTCTGTGTCGCCCGTGAGCTCTCAAATACCTTGCCAGTCTCTCACTCTATGAACGGTCACTGCTATCCGGATTCCTTGGGACGTCCCTACCCTGAACCAAACCCTAAACCCTAACTATAATCATAACCCTTACCTAACACTAAACTTAACCTTTACCTTAACCATTTTACATTTCTACTTGATTGAGGTAGGGACATAAGGATCCCGGATAGCATGGACCCTCTGGGAAATCATATGAACTCCTCTATTAGACTGAAAGTCATGAACACAACTCCTATTGGTCGTCTGACGTACTTGGAACTTGTAACAACACAGTCTGTGATTGGCTAACAACATTTAGATCTGTATACAGTGAGATAAGATAACGTACCATCCCATGAGGTGTTGAGGGAAAGCAAGATTACCTATAGATTGGACGTCATCTTTTCTAGGCCATAATAACCAGAAATACACAAGCTGTAGGCAACACTATAGCTCAATGTGGCTAGCTACAGTGGGGGAAAAAAGTATTTAGTCAGCCACCAATTGTGCAAGTTCTCCCACTTAAAAAGATGAGAGAGGCCTGTAATTTTCATCATAGGTACACGTCAAACATGACAGACAAAATGAGGAAAAAAAATCCAGAAAATCACATTGTAGGATTTTTTATGAATTTATTTGCAAATTATGGTGGAAAATAAGTATTTGGTCAATAACAAAAGTTTCTCAATACTTTGTTATATACCCTTTGTTGGCAATGACACAGGTCAAACGTTTTCTGTAAGTCTTCACAAGGTTTTCACACACTGTTGCTGGTATTTTGGCCCATTCCTCCATGCAGATCTCCTCTAGAGCAGTGATGTTTTGGGGCTGTCGCTGGGCAACACGGACTTTCAACTCCCTCCAAAGATTTTCTATGGGGTTGAGATCTGGAGACTGGCTAGGCCACTCCAGGACCTTGAAATGCTTCTTACAAAGCCACTCCTTCGTTGCCCGGGCGGTGTGTTTGGGATCATTGTCATGCTGAAAGACCCAGCCACGTTTCATCTTCAATGCCCTTGCTGATGGAAGGAGGTTTTCACTCAAAATCTCACGATACATGGCCCCATTCATTCTTTCCTTTACACGGATCAGTCGTCCTGGTCCCTTTGCAGAAAAACTGCCCCAAAGCATGATGTTTCCACCCTCATGCTTCACAGTAGGTATGGTGTTCTTTGGATGCAACTCAGCATTCTTTGTCCTCCAAACACGACGAGTTGAGTTTTTACCAAAAAGTTATATTTTGGTTTCATCTGACCATATGACATTCTCCCAATCCTCTTCTGGATCATCCAAATGCACTCTAGCAAACTTCAGACGGGCCTGGACATGCACTGGCTTAAGCAGGGGGACACGTCTCGTACTGCAGGATTTGAGTCCCTGGCTGCGTAGTGTGTTACTGATGGTAGGCTTTGTTACTTTGGTCCCAGCTCTCTGCAGGTCATTCACTAGGTCCCCCCGTGTGGTTCTGGGATTTTTGCTCACCGTTCTTGTGATCATTTTGACCCCACGGGGTGAGATCTTGCGTGGAGCCCCAGATCGAGGGAGATTATCAGTGGTCTTGTATGTCTTCCATTTCCTAATAATTGCTCCCACAGTTGATTTCTTCAAACCAAGCTGCTTACCTATTGCAGATTCAGTCTTCCCAGCCTGGTGCAGGTCTACAATTTTGTTTCTGGTGTCCTTTGACAGCTCTTTGGTCTTGGCCATAGTGGAGTTTGGAGTGTGACTGTTTGAGGTTGTGGACAGGTGTCTTTTATACTGATAACAAGTTCAAACAGGTGCCATTAATACAGGTAACGAGTGGAGGACAGAGGAACCTCTTAAAGAAGAAGTTACAGGTCTGTGAGAGCCAGAAATCTTGCTTGTTTGTACGTGACCAAATACTTATTTTCCACCATAATTTGCAAATAAATTCATAAAAAATCCTACAATGTGATTTTCTGGATTTTCTTTTCTCAATTTGTCTGTCATAGTTGACGTGTACATATGATGAAAATTACAGGCCTCTCTCATCTTTTTAAGTGGGAGAACATGCACAATTGGTGGCTGACTAAATACTTTTTTTCCCCACTGTATATTAGAATGTCGGCTTGCACAGGAAAAATTTTTATTTTTTATTTCAAACATTTATGGTTGAGATTTAATTAATATAAATATAAACTATGCACCTTGTGACTTTTATTAATATGCAGGCGTCACACAGACATTAGTAAGGTGTTGGTATGATGACATGTTAGTTACACGGTCAATGGTAGGAGACAGCATAATTGTATTAACATGCAGGCATCACGCAGACGTTAGTAAGGCCTTGATATCACATCATGTCAGTCAGACGTTCAATGATAGGCAACAGCCAAACAGTGGTACTGTTGCCTAGGCTTAATTTTGGCCTGAATCACTCCCCATAGCGCACTACAGGTTTTGTATTTGTATTTATTATGGATCCCCATTAGTTGCTGCCAAGGCACATGCTGCTCTTCCTGGGGTCCAGCAAAATTAAGGTAGTTATAAATGTTTTATAACATTACAATACATTCACAACAGATTTCACAACATATTAAGTGTGTGCCCTCAGGCCTCTACTCTACTACCATATATCTACAACACAAAATCCATGTGTATGTATAGTCTGTATGTTATCGTGTGTTTGTATGAATGTGTTTGTGCTTATGTTTGTGTTGCTTCACAGTCCCCGCTGTTCCATAAGGTGTATTTTTATCTGTTTTTTAAATCTAATTTTACTGCTTGCATGAGTTACTTGGTGTGGAATATAGTTCCATGTAGTCATGGCTCTATGTAGTACTGTACGCCTAGTCAGAGAGGAAGAGGAAGAGAGAGGCCCCAACTCAGTAGAAAATCTGTCTCCCACCAGCAGCCCAGTCGCTTTTTTGGGGGGTTTCATGCACCAAGCGAGGAATTTTTGTATGGAGGTCAATGAGTATTGAATTTGGTCAACAAGAAAATGAATGGCTTATTTGCTACATTTATTTATTTTTATTTAACCTTGATTTTAATAAGGAAGACATTGAGTCCTAGGTCTATTTTTCAAATGCGCCCTGTAAAATACAACAAAGTGTATGACACCGTGTTCCAGTTCCCACCAATATCCAGCAACTTCGCACAGACATTGAAGACGAGTGGGACAACATTCCACAATCAACAGCCTGATCAACTCTATGCAAAGGAGATGAGTCGCGCTGCATGAGGAAAATAGTGGTCACACCAGATACTAACTGGTTTTCCGATCCACGCCCCTACCTTTTTTTAAAGGTGTCTGGGACCAACAGATTTATATCTGTATTCCCAGTCATGTGAAATCCATAGATTAGGGCCTAATTTATTTATTTCAATTGACTGATTTCCTGATATGAACTGTAACTCTTTGAAATTGTTGCATGTTGCATTTTTATTTTCGTTCAGTGTATATACTGTATATATACACATTAAAATACAAAAACACATTCATGGTAAGCACATATAAAACATCACAAGTCACGCATAAAAACAGTTACATTCCTCCACAAATAAGTCCCCAATCAATACTTTACATTGCCCGAACGGCAACAGAATATCAAGATTAAATGTATTTAGAATTTTGTTCAAGCGATACGGTGCATTAAAACTAAAAGCAGATTTACCGAGCTCGGTGGATATCCTTGGAACCTCAAGCTAACCAATCCTGTGAACGGGTTAGGCAACTCAGGTGTCTATACTTCAACAGCAAAGTTAGATATGACGGAGGTATGAAGTAGGGCCTTGTAAACAAAAATGGAGTGATGTAGAGATCTACAGGGCTTTAGCGAAGTTCAGCCAACCTTTTAACACAGGATGCAGTGATAAGTATCAAAACTGTCACCTGTAACAAAACGAAGGGCACTAAACGATGGTATCCCAAGGTTTAAGAGTAGTAGAAGCTGCACTTTGAAAAATAATATCACCATAATCAAGAACAGATAAAAAGGTTGACTGAATAATCTGCTTCCTACTGCTTAGAGAAAGGCACGATCGGTTTTTCAACCTAAGTATTTATATGCGGGAACACGTTCGATTGGAGAACCATCTAATGAGTGAACATGTAGTTAATCGGAAACATTCTTACATGTTTAAAAACATGTATTTCGTTTTTCCCGTATTAAGCACAAGGTTTATTTGATCTAATATAAATTTCGTAATGCTTAAATTGTTATGAGTGTACTGATATGAGTAGGACACGTGACATCCCGACAACTTTGATAAAAAACACGTTATACCGGAGTTGACGAGATGGCTATGCATATTCATGGAATTAGGCTAGAAGCATAGCATCTCTCTCCATTGACATCAACAACCCTCATCGAATATTCAAAAAGGATTACAATAATGAGATGTATCCACCAATCCAAAGTATGGATAGGCAGGAGCTAGACAGGCCGCCGTGCCGCTTTATGGGCGACTCCCAATGTTAGGGCGGAGAGACATGTATCCGTCAGTATACTCATAATCTTTGTCGTAGTCAGCCAGGTGATGATGGCGCGCCCTCTCCTGTTCAGCAACAGGTTTCAACGTCACCAGGACCAATGTCATCTATCATGCATGGAAGTGGAATAATAATTGCTTTTACATGGGTGGGAGAATAATCAAATCTATTTTAACCCAGCCATCCAGTTAGAATGAATCCGGTTTAATAAAAACTAAGAGTGCCCATTCTTTTCATAATGTAGTATATTTTAATATTTACAATACAAACACACAAGCATCACATCACAATATGGGTAAGAGACAAGTGCCAGTTGTGGAAACCTTACAGCAAGTTGTCACTCAAGTCCATCTGATGATCCCAAATTCTTTCTATTCAGAATAATCTTTATAGAAGGCTCATATGAATGTAAAAGAAACGGCTATAGCTGTTGTCCAATTCTCTACCCTTCTCCTGAGATGTGCACTCCTACACCCCCTCATGGATTTAAAAGGAATGGATTGGTGCAAAGGATATGGTTGAAACTCCCTTCATCCATGCTTGTAACAATTCAATGCTTTTGGACGAAGGGTGTAGGATCTATCCAAGTTGACATCACAGTCCCTTGTAGGTAACCTTTCACCTCTTTTCCTCTTGACCCCTCTCTCACACTGCTGTCCCCTCCTGCCTCTCCCGCTCCCTCTCTTTCTCCTGACTTCTGAAGTACTCTTTGCTGAGTAGGACATCCCTCTTCAGGGGTAAGGTTGGCTCCTCAACCGCCGCCCCTAGCTTATCTTTCTGCCGCTGGGCGAGAAGCATGGCACGGAGCAGGGGCGGGTACGACACATAGCGTATGGGGGGCTCGGGAACAGGGTTGTAGAGTTTGAACTGCTCCTCCTCGTGTTTGGGCACCAGACGCCAGTCATGGTACATCACCTTGTCAATCTCCTTCACTTCACTCTCCTGCTTGCCTGTGGAAAATAATAATACACATAATGTTGACTTGGTCTTTTCCTAATCTCTTTTCACAACCACTGCTGTGATAAATGTCAAATGACAGTAATGCGGAGGTAGTCTCGCCCACCAGCCAGCTCTCTCTGTCGAGACGGGACTTGAAGGAGCGGCGAAAACAGCCAATGGTTTTAATTGGCTGATCTCTCAGGCCATCACCATCTAGCACAGGGGTCTCCAACTTTTTCTAGCATGAGAAAATTAAACATGTCGAGAGCTACACATTCTAGCTTTCAAATAGGCACATTCTTCTCCTCTCCCCTCCCCTCCACTTTTCCCCAGGTCCTTAGTGTACAAGAGAAAGTAGTACACTATGTTTTCTGTCAATATACCTGGTAAAATAATTGTTAATAAACAACTAAGGGGGGCCCTATAAAATGTTTTTCCCCCAAAATTCTGTTTTATATTTTCCCAAATTATGTTCAGTTTTATTTTTCCTGGTTTTATATTTTGTTAGTTTTTTACTCTGAAAATTACAATTGAGTGCCGCAGCAGTCTAAGGCACTGTATCGCAGTGCTAGAGGCGTCACTACAGAACCGGGTTCGTCCCGGGCTGTGTCGCAGCCGGCCACGACGGGGAGACCCATGAGGCGGCGCACAATTGACCCAGCGTCGTCCAGGTTAGGGGAGGGTTTGGCTGGCTGGGATGTCCTTGTCCCATCGCGCTCTAGCGACTCCTTGTGACGGCCGGGCGCATGCACGCTGACTTTGGTCGCCAGCTGTACAGTGTTTCCTCCGACACATTGGTGCAGCTGGCTTCCGGGTTAAGCATGCAGTGTGTCAAGAAGCAGTGCGGCTTGGTGGGGTCTGTGTTTCAGAGGACACATGGCTCTCGACCTTCGCCTCTCCCAAGTCCGTACGGGAGTTGCAGCGATGGGACAAGACTCTAACTACCAATTGGATATCACGAAATTGGGGAGAAAAAGGGGTAAAAAGTACCCCCCAAAAATAAAAGTACAATTGTTCGTAGAGAAACAACAAAATTGATGTTCTGAGTTCATGTCAATGCTTAAATCACATCTGAAGACAATTCTGTTAGGCCTGGAAGAAAAAAAAGTGTAATTCCCCTTTAATTGTGCATCTGGCCCTTTAATTGCGCATCTAGCGAGTAAGGAATGTGCCATCTAATGTTCTGGTCTAGTGATTGTTCTGTACTGCTGCAGCTCATTTCATGGCAAGTTTGCAAATAACAAAAAATAGATACAAATGATATACTTACTCATGATATACTTCTGCCTGGTAAGCCTACTTTGCAGTTAACATTTAATGAGAAGGTTTTGGGGAAAGTATTTCTGTCAAACCACAAGACGGTTATCACATCAACTAGCTAGACATGGAGTGATGGACAAACACACATCACAGACAGGCAATATTGCTGGAAATTAATTGGCAGATATGTTAGGTTTGGCTTTTTAAGCCAATAGTGGCTAACCAGGGGTGGGATAATGTCAATGTTGCATTGGCTAGATATAGTAGCTGGGAGCTTGCGGTCTCTGATACTTGAGATTTGTTTATGACAGTTTTGTGGTGGAACACGTGAAAATTGCATGTACTTTCAAAATTGTTTGGCGAGTGCCTTCAGAAAGTATTCAGACCCCTTGACTTTCTCCACATTTTGTTACGTTACAGCCTTATTCTAAAATTGATTAAATATTTTTTCCCCCTCATCAATCTACACACAATACCCCATAATGACAAAGCAAAAACTTTTTTCGAAATCTTATATTCTAATTTATTAAAAATGAAACACACATTTACATAAGTATTCAGACCTTTACTCAGTACTTTGTGGAAGCACCTTTGGCAGCGATTATAGCATGGAGTCTTCTTGGGTATGACGCTACAAGCTTGGCACACCTGTATTTGGGGAGTTTCTCCCATTCTTCTCTGCAGATGTTCTCAAGCTCTGTCAGCTTGGATGGGGAGCGTTGCTGCACAGCTATTTTCAGGTCTCTCCAGAGATGTTCGATCGGGTTCAAGTCCGGGCTCTGGCTGGGCCACTCAAGGACATTAGGAGACTTGTCCCGAAGCCACTCCTGCGTTATCTTGGATGTGTGCTTAGAGTCGTTGCCCTGTTGGAAAGTGAACTTTCGCCCCAGTCTGAGATCCTGAGCGCTCTGGAGCAGGTTTTCATCAAGGATCTCTCTGTACTTTGCTCCGTTCATCTTTGCCTCAATTCTGACTAGGCTCCCAGTCCCTGCCGCTGAAAAACATCCCCACAGCATGATGCTGCCACCACCATGCTTCACCGTAGGGATGGTGCCAGGTTTCCTCCAGACGTGACGCTTTCCCTAATATGGTTTCTGACTGTTTGTGCAGAAATTCTTTGGTTGTGCTGTTTCATCAGCTGTCCGGGTGGCTGGTGTCAGATTTTCCCGCAGGTGAAGAAGCCGGATGTGGAGGTCCTGGGCTGGCGTCGTTACACGTGGTCTGCTGTTGTGAGGCCGGTTGGAAGTATTGCCAAGTTCTCTAAAACTATGTTGGAGGCGGCTTATGGTAGAGAAATTAACATAAAATTCTCTGGCAACAGCTCTGGTGGATATTCCTGCAGTCAGCATGCCAATTGCACGCTCTCTCAACCTAAGACATCTGTGGCATTGTGTGACAAAACTGGACATTTTAGAGTGATCTTTTGTCCACAGCACAAGGTGCACCTGTGTAATGATCATGCTGTCTAATCAGCGTCTTGATATGCCACACCTGCCAGGTGGGTGGATTATCTTGGCAAAGGAGAAATGCTCACTAACAGGGATGTAAACAAATCCGTGCACAACATTTGAGAAATAAGCTTTTTGTGCGTATGGACTACTTCTGGGATCTTTTACTTCAGCTCATGAAACATGGGACCAACACTTTCCATTTTGCGTTTATATTTTTGTTCAGTGTAATAGGCCAAGGCACAGCTGTAGCAGGCTCTCTCCCTCTCCCGCCTCAATTTCAACTACACCCCTTTCAAGTCCCACATTAATGCACACTGTTGTCTATCCCAATAGTGGACTAAAGGAGCCGATAGTATTTTTCAGTTACAACACGTTTGTGGCGTCCGTCTTCCGTTTACACACAGGTGTTCGGAGACGCAGATAGCTAATTAGCACAGGTAGTCCACTTTTTCCGTCAGTGTTTTCCATAAACAAGCGCTGTAACATGGAAATATGGCTGTGTGGGAACACTAAGCCTATAAAAAGGTGTAGTAATTTCACTTTTTTAAATGTATTATTATTTCTCACTGATATGAAAGGTACATTCCTTATGCTTCCAAAACTGTAGCGCAAGCGATGCGTGTTAATGTTTAGTGCAAGCTAAACTCTTAACAAAACTTCCCCGGTCAGAAGAAACGGTTACCAGGCTCTATGCGCCAGCAACACGAGCCTGGGGACGAGGTTAATGCTGAAGAAACCTAAACCTAGGCATTCCTTCATCTGTGAGAGATCATGCAATGACAGAGAGGCATATGAAAAGCTGCTGAAATGTCATTCTGTAAAAACAAATAAAAAGGCTTTTCACACTACGGAGTCGAACCGAGCAGCACTGAACCAAGCTGTGCTGAGGATCGGAACGGTAGTGTGAAAAGGCTGTCTTGGTCGTCATCTCTTATCTGTTCATGACCACTATTGTGAATCACGTCGGTACTACAAAGGAAAGCTACACCTATTCTTTCTTCAGTGAGAGAGCATGATATATGATGTGTGAATGGGAAATTCTCACCTTTATAGGTCAGGATTCCCCATGCTCTGCCGTGGTCCATGTTCTACAGAGAAGAAGAGAGCGGAGTTATAAACATGTAAACGACATGACAAAAAGTATGTGGACACCTGCTCGTCGAACATCTCATTCCAAAATCATAGTTATTAATATGGAGTTAGTCCCCCCCTTTCCTGCTATAACAGCTTCCACCCTTCTGGGAAGGTTTTCCACTAGATGTTGGAACATTACCGCGGGGACTTGAGGTCGGGCACTGATGTTGGGCGATTAGGCCTGTATCGCAGTCGGCGTTCCAATTCATCCCAAAGGTGTTCGATGAGGTTGAGTTCATGACTCTGTGCAGGCCAGTCAAGTTCTTCCATACCGATCTCAACAAACCATTTCTGTATTGACCTCGCTTTGTGCACGGGGGCACTGTCATCCTGAAACAGGAAAGGTCCTTCCCCAAACAGTTGCCACATAGTAGGAAGCACAATAGTCTAGAATGTCATTGTATGCTGTAGCGTTAAGATTTCCCTTCACTGGAACTAAGGGGCCTAGCCCAAACCATGAAAAACAGACCCAGACCATTATTCTTCCTCCACCAAACTTTACAGTTGGCACTATGCATTGGGGCAGGTAGCGTTCTCCTGGCATCTGCCAAACCCCGATTTGTCCGTCAGACTGCCAAATGGTGAAGTGTGATTCATCACTCCAGAGAACACGTTTCCACTGCTCCAGAGTTCAATGGCGGCGAGCTTTACACCACTCCAGCCGACGCTTGGCATTGCGCATGGTGATCTTAGGCTAGTGTGCGGCTGCTCGGCTATGGAAACCCATTTCATGAAGCTCCCGACGAACAGTTCTTGTGCTGACATTTCTTCCTCAGGCAGTTTGGAACTCTGTAGTGAGTGTTGCAGCCGAGGACACACGATCTTCAGCGGTACCGTTCTGTGAGCTTGTGTGGCCTACCACTTATTGGCTGAGCCGTTGTTGCTCCTAGAAGTTTCCACTTCTCAATAACAGCACTTACAGTTGACCGGGGCAGCTCTAGCAAGGCAGAAATGTTAAGAACTGACTTGTTAGAAAGGTGGCATCCTATGACGGTGCCACGTTGAAAGTCACTGAGCTCTTCAGTAAGGCCATTCTACAGTCGTGGTCAAAAGTTTTGAGAATGATACAAATACTAATTTTCACAAAGTCTGCTGCCTCAGTTTTGATGATGCCAATTTGCATGTACTCCAGAATGTCATTTAGAGTGATCAGATGAATTGCAATTAATTGCAAAGTCCCTCTTTGCCATGCAAATGAACTTAATCCCAAAAAAACATTTCCACTGCATTTCAGCCCTGCCACAAAAGGACCAGCTGCCATAATGTCAGTGATTCTCTCGTTAACACAGGTGAGAGTGTTGACGAGGACAAGGCTGGAGATCACTCTGTCATGCTGATTGAGTTAGAATAACAGACTGGAAGCTTTAAAAGGAGGGTGGTGCTTGAAATCATTGTTCTTCCTCTGTCAACCATGGTTACCTGCAAGGAAACACGTGCCGTCATCATTACTTTACACAAAAAGGGCTTCACAGAAAGGTATTGCTGCTTGTAAGATTGCACCTAAATCAACTATTTATCGGATCATCAAGAACTTCAAGGAGAGAGGTTCAATTGTTGTGAAGGCGGCGTCAGGGCGCCCAAGAAAGTCCAGCAAGCGCCAGAACCGTCTCCTAAAGTTGATTCAACTGCGGGATTGGGGCACCACCAGTGCAGAGCTTGCTCAGGAATGGCAGCAGGCAGGTGTGAGTGCATCTGCACGCACAGTGAGGCGAAGACTTTTGGAGGATGGCCTGGTGTCAAGAAGGGCAGCAAAGAAGCCACTTCTCTCCAGGAAAAGCATCAGAGACAGACGGATATTCTGCAAAAGGTACAGGGATTGGACTGCTGAGGACTGGGGTAAAGTCATTTTCTCTGATGAATCCCCTTTCCGATTGTTTGGGGCATCCGGAAAACACCTTGTCCAGAGAAGACAAGGTGAGTGCTACCATCAGTCCTGTGTCATGCCAACAGTAAAGCATCCTGAGACCATTCATGTGTGGGGTTGCTTCTCAGCCAAGGGAGTGGGCTCACTCACAATTTTGCCTAAGAACACAGCCATGAATAAAGAATGGTACCAACACATCCTCTGAGAGCAACTTCTCCCACCATCCAAGAACAGTTTGGTGACGACCAATGCCTTTTCCAGCATGATGGAGCACCTTGCCATAAGGCAAAAGTGATAACTAAGTGGCTCGGGGAACAAAACATAAACATTTTGGGTCCATGGCCAGGAAACTCCCCAGACCTTAATCCAATTGAGAACTTTAGTTCGATCCTCAAGAGGCAGGTGGACAAACAAAAACCCACAAATTCTGACAAACTCCAAGCATTGATTATGCAAGAATGGGCTGCCATCAGTCAGGATGTGGGCCAGAAGTTAATTGACAGCATGCCAGGGTGGATTGCAGAGGTCTTGAAAAAGAAGGGTCAACACTCTTTGCATGAACTTAATGTAATTGTCAATAAAAGCCTTTGACACTTATGGAATGCTTGTAATTATACTTCAGTATACCATAGTAACATCTGACAAAAATATCTCATAACACTGAAGCAGCGAACTTTGTGAAGACCAATACTTGTGTCATTCTCAAAACTTTTGACCACGACTGTACTGCCAATGTTTGTCTATGGAGATTGCATGGCTATGTGCTCGATTTTATACACCTGTCAGCAACAGGTGTGGCTGAAATAGCCGAATCCACTCATTTGAAGGCGTGTCCACATACTTTTGTATAAATAGTGTATGTATGAGGCTTTATAGGGCTCCCAAGTGGCGCAGCGGTCTAAGGCACTGTATCTCAGTGCTTGAGGCGTCACTACAGACTCCCTGGTTCGATTCCAGGCTGTATCACAACCGGCCGTGATTGGGAGTCTCATAGGGCGGCGCACAATTGGCACAGCGTCGTCCGGGTTTGGCCTGTGTAGGCCATCATTGTAAATAAGAATTTGTTCTTAACTGACTTGCCTAGTTAAATAAAGGTAAAATAAAAAATAAAATAAATAAATATAGTAACAGTGTTATAAGCCTCCACTCCCATTACTCACCCTCTTTCCCTTACCTCTGTCCCCCCTCTTACCTTTTTCACTCCCCCCCCCCCCATTTCCTCTCCCCACTCACTTCTGCAGTGTAGTCCACCTTGACCTTGGTGACCTGCCAGTAGCTAGGTGCTTCAGGGTGCTCTGTCAGCCAAGACTTGCGTGTGAACAGGTGGCCAACCCCGAACAGCCTGAGGCCAGACAGCAGGGAGAAGAGACGGCTCTCTCTCCTCACGTCCTGAATAGAAACGAAAGCAGTTTTAGGGTTTTTATCAATTTTCTTTCCCTTGTTCGAGGGCTAGGGTTCCCAGGTTTCTGAAATTCCCAGGTTTTCCTTAAAATACGGTCGGAAGGTTCCCAGGATCTTGCAGAAATAAGCTGGAAATCCAGGAATCCGCCCAACCATGATTTCTGGAAAACTTTTGGGAATGTTACCGGACTTATCAAGGGCACAACAGTAGTCGATGGGATCTGGCATCACAGACCCACAGCCCTCCATCTAGTTGCCAGTTAAATTCCCACTTTTTACACCTGGCCTGGGGCTTGAACCATCAACCTTCTGGCCCTGCTTTCTAACCTCTAGGCTACCTGGTGCCCCACACACATACCTGCCAGGCAAGCACGGGCAGGGTCTTCATGGTGTGTGGTCGCGTCATGGTGTCGTAGTCCAGTGCGTACTTCTCAGACTCCCGTGGCCGATTCTTCAGCTCCCGGTACACACGGATCTTCCGGGCCATCTCAGCGATCAGGCGGATGCGCTTCTTCTTCACCATGATTGGTCGATAATGATGTCACTGGGTCTCCTTCAGAACCTGGGGGTTAGGAGGTTAGGCTCACATAAAGGAATAAATAAAGACAGTTCTGACCATTTTACAATAGATGTACTCATGAAGACATTCACAGATCTGATAACCTGGAGACACTCGCAGGTCTGATAACCTAGAATGACCCAAATACACTGAATGCAAACCCAGGTAAAACCAGAGTTTCTGGTCTGGTGTATTTGGGACTAACGATTCTGTTTCAGCAGATATCTAGACAGATACAGCCCCAAATTCACCAGACTATGGAACCCTAGTTTTTCCTGGGCCTGCATTCAGTGTACTATTCAAGAGGTGTTACCGTTAACAACATACTAGTTAGTCATCATACTGTAGTTCATCTCGTTAAGTAAAGCCAAACATCTTAAGAACCACAATCAATACTGCTCAATTGAATAATGACTACCGTTAACGTTAGATAGCTAAATGTGGTCTGCTAACGTTAGCTACTATTTCACGTGCTAGGACTGGCAGTCTTGTCTGTCGCAAGCTAGCTAATACAGATAGCCAGAGAGATGGCACGCTAACGGTAGCTATCGACGTTAGCGGGCTAGCTAGCGAAGTATTCCACTATTCAACAGACAGTATTCTTGTTATCACAATTTTTTAAATAGTAGCTTAGATTTCCAGGGGATGTTTTATTTTGCATACCTAGCTACCTGAGATTTGACTTGACCTCCACAACGCACAACTTCTGTGACGACTTCCTCCAAAATTGTCAAACGACGGACGAAAAACCTCCCTGGAAGTATTGATACATTTCTTTAGTTCCGGGATAGAACATGTTCCGCTTTGAAACGTTTTGGGGGTGGTCACTCCGGGGACACTCCAGACTTAGTTTTTTTTGCTTTGGCGTTGTTTGCAAAGATTGAAGTGATATTTTAACTACTATCACAAACTATTGGAAGGAAACAAGAGAGGGTGTGAAATACACTGCTCAAAAAAATTAAGGGAACACTTAAACAACACAATGTAACTCCAAGTCAATCACACTTCTGTGAAATCAAACTGTCCACTTAGGAAGCAACACTGATTGACAATACATTTCACATGCTGTTGTGCAAATGGAATAGACAACAGGTGGAAATTATAGGCAATTAGCAAGACACCCCCCAATAACAAAAGTGGTTCTGCAGGTGGTGGCCACAGACCACTTCTCAGTTCCTATGCTTCCTGGCTGATGTTTTGGTCACTTTTGAATGCTGGCGGTGCTTTCACTCTAGTGGTAGCATGAGACGGAGTCTACAACCCACACAAGTGGCTCAGGTAGTGCAGCTCATCCAGGATGGCACATCAATGCGAGCTGTGGCAAGAAGGTTTGCTGTGTCTGTCAGCGTAGTGTCCAGAGCATGGAGGCGCTATCAGAAGACAGGCCAGTACATCAGGAGACGTGGAGGAGGCCGTAGGAGGGCAACAACCCAGCAGCAGGACTGCTACCTCCGCCTTTGTGCAAGGAGGAGCAGGAGAAGCACTACGAGAGCCCTGCAAAATGACCTCCAGCAGGCCACAAATGTGCATGTGTCTGCTCAAACGGTCAGAAACAGACTCCATGAGGGTGGTATGAGGGCCCGACGTCCACAGGTGGGGGTTGTGCTTACAGCCCAACACCGTGCAGGACGTTTGGCATTTGCCAGAGAACTCCAAGATTGGCAAATTCGCCCTGTGCTCTTCACAGATGAAAGCAGGTTCACACTGAGCACGTGACAGACGTGACAGAGTCTGGAGACGCCGTGGAGAACGTTCTGCTGCCTGCAACATCCTCCAGCATGACCGGTTTGGCGGTGGGTCAGTCATGGTGTGGGGTGGCATTTCTTTGGGGGGCCGCACAGCCCTCCATGTGCTCGCCAGAGGTAGCCTGACTGCCATTAGGTACTGAGATGAGATCCTCAGACCCCTTGTGAGACCATATGCTGGTGCGGTTGGCCCTGGGTTCCTCCTAATGCAAGACAATGCTAGACCTCATGTGGCTGGAGTGTGTCAGCAGTTCCTGCAAGAGGAAGGCATTGATGCTATGGACTGGCCCGCCCGTTCCCCAGACCTGAATCCAATTAAGCACATCTGGGACATCATGTCTCGCTCCATCCACCAACGCCACGTTGCACCACAGACTGTCCAGGAGTTGGCGGATGCTTTAGTCCAGGTCTGGGAGGAGATCCCTCAGGAGACCATCCGCCACCTCATCAGGAGCATGCCCAGGCGTTGTAGGGAGGTCATACAGGCACGTGGAGGCCACACACACTACTGAGCCTCATTTTGACTTGTTTTAAGGACATTACTTCAAAGTTGGATCAGCCTGTAGTGTGGTTTTCCACTTTAATTTTGAGGGTGACTCCAAATCCAGACCTCCGTGTGTTGATACATTTGATTTCCATTGATAATTTTTGTGTGATTTTGTTGTCAGCACATTCAACTATGTAAAGAAAAAAGTATTTAATAAAATTATTTCATTCATTCAGATCTAGGATGCGTTGTTTAAGTGTTCCCTTTATTTTTTTGAGCAGTGTATTATCAGAAGCACTGCCTTCCACCTGCTGCTGAAGAAATTAGTATATAAAAAAAGAATCTAAATTAGAACAAAAGCAAAATTCAGAGACAGGGGGGTAGCTACTAAGTGGCTAGTTAGCTAAGTTCGATGGTTAGCTCATAGAGAGAGGACTCTAGACTAATTTCAGTAGTCCTCTATTATGATTTCTTTTTTTCTATCTCGCATAGCTCATTAGTACGCCCTTGTGGTTGAATATATATTTATCTATTGTTGGTCCTAGGATACAATGAATAATGTGGAACTAATAAATACCATCAAAGGATACCTTACAATAATTAACCTTGTGAAACAGCTGTGAAAACCAAACTGGCAATACTTAAGATTTTAATATATAAACTTTGATTTAGTTTGGTACAGTTGTGTCATTAATTTATTTTCACTGACTTTTGTACACTCACATGGCAATCATAGACTAAACTACTGAATTCTGGTGTGGAATATAGAAGGTGTTTGCTGTGGGGTGGGAGGCTCTGCTTGTCACTTGTTCTCAACAGGCTGCCAGTTTCAGAAAGGGGACTTGAAGAGGGAGACTGGAAAGTCCAGGCACTGCTGCTCTCTTTGAGTGTTTGCAGTGCTAGTGTTTTTAGTTCATCTGTGTATCTCACATATTATGTGCCCAGTATGATAGCGCAAGAAAACTTTCTTAGAAGATAATGACAACATGATAATAACAGTAGCTGTAGATGATGTAATGAAAAGTTGGAGGATGGTTGGTAATGGAGGACATCAGGTGGATCCATGTCTGGGTGTTGGGCAGAACCCCTAGGTCCTGGAGAATAGGAGTAGAGTTAAAAGGGAACGGGGTAGGAGACAGAGATGTAAACAAGCAAACACACAGGTTACACTTTACTGTGAGAAAATGTGATGGATTAGTGCAGTGTTATAAATGGGAGATATGTACTTTTCAACAGTTTTGGAAGGTATAGCCTACCTCGATGGTCCCCCTCCGACTCAGAACACAGAGAATCAGACTGTTCCGAACTCACTGGCTCTGGTGGATGGGATACCTCCTGGGGGCCTCGGACAGTCGATGGTCCTAAAGTCATTTGGAGAGGTAAATTGAAGAGGTACATTTTTATAAGCTCAGCATAACTACCATTTCTTGCTTTCTCAAATGTCAACAAAAGCTTAACATACTTTGTCTATTGGGCTTCACCAAAGTGTAGGGCATCAGGGCTTTCAGTGGTCGATCGTCCAACAGCTCCAACTGGAGAAGATTGTTGGCTTCCACCGAGGTAACCCAAGGAAGACGAAGGGAAAAATATCAGTGATTTTTTATATTCACATTAACAGATGGTGACCACAGCTAGGAGCGAAAGAGCAGCAAGGTTTCCCAGCTCTCGCCCTCCTTTCGTCCTTCTTCCAAACCAAGTATTTTGCCCGTATGTCGAAGCGCTTGGTTCCCTTCTTGATTCCCCTCCGGTAGCTCTCCTTCTGTTTCTCCTGCGCCTTGTCAATATGCAGTCTCACCTTGATTGATAACAGGAATAAATGCAATTATATTTCATATTACAAATACATTTCTTACATATCTCTTGGAGGGCCTGAAAATAAATTAACAGCAGACAATCATTTTTACCTGGTCAAAAACCTCCACATCCTTCTCAGTCCGTGCCTGAAGGTGGTCCTAGAAGGCGTTCTGATCTGGTTCGACAACTTCCACCACATGAGGTGGGGTTTCAGTGATCTGAAAGTACGTTATACAAAAATAGCAATAGACAATCACAAATTTGAAAGACTACAGTATATGCAATAATTGTATATAGCCTTCTGTCCATACTCTGTGGAGGCCTGGACGCTGCTGTTGTGTGTAAAGAGAATTACCTTCAGGTTGTTCTCCCACCGTTCCTGGTACCCGTCAAGGGACTTGCCCATGGCAGTCTTGAGGGTCTGGTTGGTCCATTCATTCAAACCTGGAGTAGGAAAGCGATATCTATTGACAATATAAGATATTGAAATATGTCTGATTATGTACCATGGAAAAACAAAAACAAATTGTAAAAAAATACATTAAACAAACCATTAGTGACAGAATATAACCTATAACATCCATACCTTGTTCCAGCATTCATGACCTCGGTCACTCAACATGACCTCAGGAGAACCGTTGGTCATCATCGCCTTGGAGGTGGCCTCACCAGTCTCGTCCTTGATGGGTATTGTTAGCAATTGATGTTATTCTTCAATAACACAGACCCCAAAGCAAATCAGGGGAAAAAAATATATTTATTCAAAGAGAACAAATCATAGTTGTTATGCTGGAAAGTAGATGGTAGATGTTCATTCTTCCCTGTTCTCAATGTTTCTCCACTGAACAAAGAGACAGGATGTAGTTTATAGCCTCAAGCATAGCATGTGGCTGACCAATTAGAATTTCTTGCAATAAAATTGGGCCAATGGCCAAATACCAAGTATCCTGTTTCAGGCTCAATGTATAGACCATTTGGACCAATTAGAACTTGCCACATGTAGCTATGAGTCGCTGGTTGGAACCCCTACAAAGATTCGAAACAACTATTTCCATTGATCGTTAATTCCCTGTTGACCACTAGTCCTCTGTGTTGTGCATATTTATCTTAGAATATTCTTACAGTATCATACAAAGCAAAAGTCTATTTTTGGTTCCAAGCACCCTTTTTAAATGGGTTCAGAAGGGAATTTAGAGTTAAGCACGTTCTCTTCCTTTACTGACCTTAATGGGTATTGCCTCCACCCACTTGTTAAAGTGATCGGTCGCCGTTAGACACCAGCTGTTGCCATACCTGGATTTCGTGAAGGGTCCGATGAGGTCCATTTACCGATCATGTGCCATGGTGAAACAACTTTGATGGGCTTTAACTCCGGTGCCACAGTCTTCACCCTCTCAAACTTCTGGCAGGCTAGACAGGGTACTGACCTTTAAGCACAATGTGACAAATTGAAACATTGTGTGCTCTCTGATATGACATTCATTGAAATCATAATAATTTCAGATATAATAGAATGTGATTGATAAACAAAAGGTTATTTCACTTGCCCAGCTGTCCACCTCCTTGACAATTCCACATCAGAAGGTAGGTTGATTTTGGCAATAATGCGCTTCACTCCGAAATGGCAAGCATGTATCTCGGTCAGTACGGCCTCCTCCTTAGTAAAAATGACCCTCCTGTGTGGCTGGCCATCCTTCCCCCGTAGGTACATGTGATTGCCTAACAAGTTGGAAGAG